GATTTAGAGTTTGAAGCTTGGAGGCTCTAGTATGTCTTTCTTGCCGATGGTTAGCGCCGAACTTTAGATCCATGCTTGAAGTGTTGAAGAGTCTCTGCATCGACAGAGTCGCGAGGCGATCCCAAGACGATCGTCGTGGAGGTTCTGGAGCGACTGTCGAAGCACCTCGCAGAAGTTCATAACAAACACATATTACAGAATAATATGACCTTCGCTATCACACTCCAATACGCCACGAAATACTACGACATCCTATAAGTTTCCTCTTTCGAGCACCTCGCTAGGACATGCTACTTGCATGAGATTTGCTGAACCTGTGGCAGAACCTCAACCCTAAACTAAATCCCGAAACCCTAAACAACCTGACTGTCCACATCTTCAAAAGGCGGGGTGCTTTGAGCACAACATGCAAAATATAGGGGCCTAAATAATTAAATATGCCTATACTATTTGGGGGTTCCTTATCATACAAAAAAGTATATTGGACCCCAAAACCCTATTTTAAGTATTAAGGCCCCTACAGTAGCTGGTTCGGGGGTATGCCTTGCAGTCAAGAAGCAACGAGGAATCCTGGGGGCTACTATTTACGCGAATAGTAATATCATTTTTCATTGGTATTACGATTATTCCGAAATACCATTATTCTGAGTTATACTGTTATTATTATTGTTAGTAGTATACGTATTAATTATTTTGCAGCAGAACTTGTCCAGAATTCCGGTCCCAGGCACTTCCCGGTCACCACCAACTCTGCCGGGTTCAAGGCGCCCTTGGAGCACTGAAAAGGCGCAGCTTGGACCCAGCTTGTCACTTGTCCTTGCAAGGTGCTGCCGCCCTACATCCGTGTCATCCAGGGTGATGGTATCTCCTACGAGTCTCTGAAGGAGATCCTTGCAAACCTTGAAGTGACACGGCAGCAGTGGCGTGCAGCATTTGTGCATGTTGTGCTGATTTTTTCTGCTCGCTCGTCGTAGCAAGCACAGTCATGTTAATTTAGTCTACCTGCGGCCGTCAATCCTGCCCGCGTCCTGCGTCAGAACAGTGTCGTTCTTGCTTCAGACGGAAAGTACTGTCAGCAGATACTCTCCGGCTAAGCATGTTGCGATCATCATGACAGACCTTGCTGAAGTATTGTTTACGCACTTTGGGCTCACGGAGACAGGCAGGACTTGAGCGTATCGACACGCATCCTGCCTGTGCTGAAAGGATCATGGGACTGAGTAACTTGGGTTATAATTAGGTTAGCTATACTTATAACCCCAATTAGGGTACTGACAACCTTACGTACTAAGTCCATGATCCTCCCCACTAGACCCTAAACCCTAAGCATTGTAGATTTAAAAGGACATTGTAGATCCCTGTAAGGAACCCGAAAAGATCCCTTTCAGGAGCCATTTAAGGAGCCTTACTTACTAAGTCCCATGATCCTTCCAGCGCGGGCAGTCACAGCTCAGGCCAAAAAATGGGCGGCAGAGAATGTTTGCTTCGGCTCAGGCCTGCATCTGCGATATGGGGGTTTCCGAAAATTAGGGGTACCTTATTTTGGGGTCCTTATAATAAGGATCCTGTTATTTAGACTACTATACTAGGGTCCCCGATTTTTGGAAACTCCCCAATTCCTAACTTCTGTCCCAGAATGTAACCTGCCATCTTATTACTACTATATTATATCCGAGATTATATTACATGTTGCTACGTATTTCTACCATTATTATACTGTCTCATGGTTTATTGTTTCATGTTACCATATCTTGATCATACGATTGCCAGGTGAAAGGGGGATTGTTCACAACATGTGTTCTGAATGCATTGCCAGCAGGTGGAGCATTGTTGCAAAAGCTGGACCGCGATACTCAGAAGTGTGCCTTCAAGTGTTGCAACACGGCTGCATACTGAAGCTCGGAGAATCCACCGCGGCTCGATTTTCTGCGCCACTCCCTCGACAACCTGAGGCGAGGCTGTGGTAGATGGCAAGCCCAGGCCTGCAAAGATTACTGTAGCTGCCTTAATACGTGGCAATACTGTTTCTCAGGCTTCCTTAGTATACCCCTACACCCCCCAAGCCCATTATAATATACCCCTATACCCCCAATGCCCCAAAAGTTCTATTTATCCAGGCCCTTCTTTGGCTAAGAGAGGGGTGCGTGGGCAAGCCCCCTTAAAGGATCATTGGACTTAGTAACTAGGGTTATATTTAGGGTACATAACTGTATTTATGTACCCAATTGAGGCACTTATAACCCCAATTACGGTACTTATAACCCCAATTAAGGTACTTCCAACCTTACTAAGTCCCATGATCCTCCAAACCCGGGGAGGCCCGTCTTCAAGGATCCCATCACGGACCAGGGTCGGGCACTGAGAGCTCCAGCGGCGGTGCTCCCGCGTTACGAAGCCAAAGCTCTCCTTGCGAGATAGATGATAGGTTAGGGCTACTATAAGGGTACTATAGGGGTTCCCTTAAAGGGCTACTATGAGGGTTCAGAGTTTCCGAAAATTTGGGGTACCTTCATTTGGGGGTCCTTGTAATAAGGATCCTACTATTTAGGGTACTATCTTAGGATCCCCTGTTTCGGAAACCCCCATATATGATAGATTCTGGTTACCATAATATAGGACTGTGGTTACCATAATGTAAGATTATGGTTACCATTAACATTATACATTCGAAAAGCCATAATTTGGTATTTTTGTAGTATATGATAGACTATAGACTTTATACCTTAAGTTCTACATGGCATATTACATACTTTATATAGCCAGTCTATTATGTCTCATACATTCTCTATATTCTTTGCTATACAAATATATAACACATATGACATGTTCTATACGTCCTTGAGGCAAGAAGTCCAAGCAGGGCCGGCTGAAGCTGGTCAAGCGCCAGAGCCCCAGGAGCTTGGTAGATCAGCTTCCGCATCTCGATCCTCGACGAAATCTAGCATAGTCTACGATATTATACACCAATGTACTATACCATAGTTCAGCAGAGTACAGTATAGTATAATCTACACTAAACCATACTATGCCATATTTCAGTAGAGTACAATGCAATGTTGCATAATCTAATATCGCTCGTTTTTGGATCTCAGTCTGTCCAAGGTGCAGGCAAGCTGACCACATTGACCGACGGCGAAGGCGCCGAATCAGAGGACCTGCTGGTCGAAGTCTTCCGCAATGGCACCTTGATGCGTCTGGGGGAGGGGGGTTGTAAGTAGGTGGTTCAGGATTTAGGGTCGGGGGGGCTTCGAATAAGGTGTCTTATTGGGATCGTTTGAAGAAGGGTCCACCAGTTGGGGTCCATATGATTCCACCGCACATCCAAAACGTCGTCGCTATGCAAAGGGGATCTCCATGAAGGAGCACACAAGAGCCAGCAAGACAAGATTTCCAAATTGCAGCCTCTCCGAGGTTCTGTCACCAAGACCTTTACATTCCAGGAAGTTCGCCAGCAATCGGAGGCAGGTGACTGCATCAGTGGGAGAGATCAGTTGCTAGTAGTGCTGCTTTCTTTTCTGCAGGTTGGACTGGTAACGCCAATCTTCGACGTGTCCGCATGAGACCCCCCTTGGCCATGACACCGGCGGGCGGTTTCCGAAAATAGGGGACCCTAATATAGTACACTAAATACCTATATAGTACCCTAAATCGTAGGATCCTTATCTCAAAGACACCAATAATAAGGTACCCCCTAATTTTCGGAAACTCTCGGGTGCTCCGAAGCGCATTGGGCCTTTGGGCAGTCCGTGTTGGCAGAGAGGAACCGATCCGAAGCGATCTGCCCTCGACAGCAGCTGCCCTAATATAGGGGCCTGGACAATTAGAAGAGGGTTTTGGAGGCTGTACCTTGTTTTGGTGTCCTTATAATAAGGATCCTACTATTTAGGGTACTATATTAGGGTCCCCTATTTTCGGAAGCTCCCTTATCCTTATTATAATGATAGTATAATATACCCTCAAACCCTATTCTAACTATTCGGGCCCTTATATTAGACGGAGGTGAGTTTTTGTCTCCGGGATCCCTGTGCCGACGTGGATGGCGAGCAAGCCGCCACGACACAGGGGCAAATTAGGCAACTGCTTAATATTGCTTCCGTAGAACCTTTTGTTGCGTCGTGCGGTCGGTCTTTTAGCTGATTACCTTCCGACGATTCTCGCAGCTTCGTGCTTCAAGAGCATGACGTTGCCATCTGTCATCGATCCAAGAGATTGGGCTGAGCGAGGTTCATCTGTCTTCGAAAAAAGCAGGTTGGTGGAATGTGCACGCAGGACGAAGACTTGTGCCAAGTGATATCCCAGCGAACATCACGTCCGGTGTGGTAAGTGTTCACACAAGCGTGGTTAATGTTGAAGCTATCAGTGAACGACATGTTGAAAATCAAACTCGCAGACCCTGTGCAAAGGGCATGGGCATGGACACCTGGTTTCGCAAACACGGAGGCTAGCACAGCAAAATGACAATTCGGTTTCGGTGAAGCAAGCGAAGTACACAGACGACGCTCTCGACGACGCATCATGTTTTATGTGGCCCGGGTGGCCAGGAATGCGAAGCAACACAACAAAAAGACAAGACCTTACAAGACTGGGTTCCTGAGTGGTAGCCTTTGGCCCTTTTTAGTTTCAGGTCTCCTTATAAAAGCCGAGTAGTAGGACAAACGGTACCCTTATTATTGTAATGGGGCTACTCAGGAGCCAGAGGACGATACACATGTTAACATCCCATGAGTGATTTAAAGCAACCCTGCATTCCTTGATTAGGTCTTCATGCTGCTTGAATATACTAGAACATACTATAACACACCTACTATCATTCTATATACTTTACCATCATATACTAAACAATACACTATAATATACTATGACATACTACAAGATACTATCATATGCTGTAATATACTATGACATACTATAGCCAAGTTTCTAAACCCTAAACCCCAAAACCCTAACCCCTTAACCCTAAACCATAAACTCAGAGTTTTTTGCATTTCAACTTCGCCAAG